GCGCGCTCGGGAAGGCCAGGCAGTGTAGTGGCAAGACACCAGAAGTATGTGGCGTCCGTCAGCCAGGGGCCTGTGCTCAGACGTAGGTGTTAAGCCTGGAGATAAGAGCAGGCCAGAGCTAGCGCTGCTTCTCATCTGCTCGCCGGTTCCAGGATTCCTACAGTCGGGCTGCCAAGGAGCCTTTTCATCCTCAGTCCCTCAGCATGCCTGGGCAGGAACAAACACCTCTGCCAGAGGGCACAGTGACTTCCTTCTCAGTCCCCAACCCCTAGACCTTGCTGCTGGTGGGCAAGAACCCTGGTCTGTCAGCATCTTTGCGAGCTCTGAAGCCAGAGGGAGGTGCCCAAGGAGGAAAGAAGCCCAGGACAGACAGATGGTCGCTTTCGGGTGAGCCTGAGGTGGCAGGAAAAGGGAAGGTGCAAAGGCCTGGCAGCCTCAGAGGTGGGTGTGCTGAGCGCAGAGAAAAGTGAGTCTTCCCTGCAAGCTGCCGCCTTAACTGCTGTGCTTTTAACCTCCTGAAAAGCGCCCCAGGCTGAGGCTGGCTCCAGCCCACAGTGTGGTCTCTGACAGGGCTGTCAGGGTTGCAGAGGGTTTTAGGGTTTTCTCAGCCAGCGCCATCAAGGTCTCCGTCCACAGGCTTCCACCTCAGCCACACTCTGGAGGACAAAGTCTTCCCAGGTCTAAGCCTGGTGTAAGAGCAGCCTACCCTAGCCAGAGCTGCCAGGGCCACCTCCCAGATTGCATTTGGGCCATCTCTCCAGGTTCCAGCACCAGGAAACTGCCAACTCTGCTTAGTACCAGAAGATGATCCAAACCCATCCTCTCTCCCAGCCTGTCTCTTACCAAGCTCCATTTTGCAGAGTTGGTCCCGGGTCCTGTTTGCAGGACCCTTGCTGGCAAAGTAGATTGCTTGAGGATGGCCCCATTCAGATCAATTTATAGCAGTCCTGTGGTCCCCTGGCCTCCTCCCTATTTATCCCATCAAGGGGAAATGCTAAAAAATCCTGAATCACCTAATGAGAGGATTCAAAACGCATACATCTGACTCCTCACCCCAGGCCCCACAAGCAGGGGCCAGAAATCTTCTCTGTGTGTTGCACCCTCCTCCGAACAGGCGCCTGGCAAGATGGGGCAGTTGGGAGGCTGCTCCGGGCCATGTGGCCCTCCACTTCCCTGACAGCCCCGGGAGCTCACCCAGGCAAGGGTCTTAACCATAGCCCCTGCTAATGTGGGAGAACTGGGAGGTGGATGCAGGGGGGGAAATCAATGCATGTCAACAGGGTTGGAAATTTATTTTCCATCTTGGAAGAGGGTATTTGCAAAGAGGTAAGGAGAGAAATGAAAAGCCGTAAACACATATCTGCCATCTTCCTCCTGGGCCATTTCTTGATTAAAAAGAAAGAAATCCTTCCTAAGCTACAGTGGAGGCCAAGCTGGTAGAGGCCTAGATGGCAAAGACACCTGCTGGGAAGGGAGGCTGGAGCAGGCCCCTGAAGTCCTGTGGATAATCACAGCAGACTAATCCCATCGCAGCAGGAGTGGTAACTCACGTTCGCTGACTGGAAGCTCCAGGCACCTTGCGATGCCCCTGCGTGCTTTATTCCGTCTCCTTCTTACAGCCAGGCTGTGAAACAGACATTGTTATTCTCAACATTCAGGAACCTGAGGCACCGAGTTGGACCAACTTGCCCAAAGTCTGCCTGGTGGCAGCTGGCCAGCGCCTGTGCTCTTGAACACGTCCCTAAACTGCCTGCACCAGCTGGGCAGAGGCCGCCCTGGGCCTTCGTGCTCTCTGAGGCGGGAGGCCTTCTTCCTTCTTGCTGCCGGCAGTGGGCAGAGCTGCGGTGCAGGGCCAGGCTCCACCCTGAGGTCTAATCCTACACCTACCAGGCGGCTTGGGTGGTTAGCTTGGGATGGGGATGTGATTCAGCCGACTGATAAAAGCACCCTGCTAATCCCCTCGGTGAGCGGCATCTTGACACACGTAAGAGCACAGAAGCTGGAGCCTCCCAGAAAGCCGCAGGTTGGGGTGCCAGGGCTGCGCAGGGGCCGATCAGCACCCTGGCTCCCTCTTCCCTAACATAGTCACACGGCGCTGCCCTCGCTGACCCCGCTCAGGTCCCAGAAACAGGCCTGCCTCTGAGTCCCTGAACCCAGGCTGTCCACAGTGCCCCCACCTGCTGGAAGCCAGAGGTGCTCCCCTCAGTGTCTGCAAAAGTCCAGAGGGACCTCCCTGCCGGCCCATATGCAGTAAGAGAACGCCAGGCCCTAAGCAGGACTTCCAGGCCTTCTGCTGGGGACTTCCCCAAGTCTCATTGGCCCCGTGCCCTCAGCATCACCCCTCCGCAGGGAAGGGGAAAACCAGCCCGTGACCTTTAGTGAAATGACCAATGTGTGAGAGGAGCCTCTGACCAGCCTGTGCCCAGCACCGATCTACCCCTCACCTCCTGCCCACAGCTCCCAGGAGCTCCCGAGCTCTGCAGCTCATGCCTTGGCAAAGGGGCCAAGGTGCCCCCTGTGGAACCAGAGGCAAGGGCTGCTTCTGCCCAGCCCAGATGGAAGGAGCCCAAGGCTGGGGACAGCTGAGCCCTGCCCCCACAGACTGAATCTCCCTGCGCTACGCTCCCAGTATTCCAGGCCTTTCTCCCTGACAAGGCCAGCTACCTCTTTGAGCCCCCTCCTTTGAGTTTTGACAGGCTCCATGTGGAGTAGGGATGAGGCTCCTCCTTTCTAGTTGCTGCTCACTGGGCCACCCGTGCCCCTGGGGCTTGCTGAGCCTGCACACGGCATAGGGGGCGGCTGTGGGGGCAGCGGCATCTTAGTGATCCTGGAGCTGCTGACGTCCGTAGCCACCCCAGCACCTCTTCTGTCTCAGGTGGGGCCTTACCAGGGCTATGGCTTCTCCTTCCCCTCAGCGTTGCCATCCACAAGGTGAGGCTGCAGTGCCCCAGGGGCACCAAGTCCCTGGACACTGTGAGGTCACAAGAAGATTATCTTCTGCCTCTGTCCAGCCACTCTCATGGGCTGGAGAACAACCTCTTCTAGAGCCCCCCCCCTTTCCCGCCAACCACCATCCACAGACTAAGGGATAGCGGGGAGGCTGCAGGAGTGCTCCCCTAGTTCCTGCTGCACTCGGTACCTCCTCCTGGGCCCCGGCGGGTTTCTGGCAGGCTTGCCCCACAGGTCACCTCCACTACAGGAGAGCTGCCCAGGCCTAAGGGGCTCGGGATGGGAGAGGAGGAGGACAGCCAGAGCTGAGCCACTGAGTCAGAGTCTGGAGGTGTCCCTGAAAACCAGCCGTTGCCCTCTCCCCTCCTCACCTGCATGGGGCCCCATCTGGCACTGCATGTAGGTCCCCGTCCCTGCCCCTCTCCCAGCTGTCCCTTGTGTTAAGTGTGAGTCCTCTTCCCTCCCTCATGCTGAAGAGGGTCCTGGCTCCATCACAGCAGTGCCATCTCGGGGACCCTCACAAATGGCCAGGCCCCAACCCCTACACACGCATGTCACTGTCCTCCTGACTGGGATGCAAGCTTCCCTTCCTGCCAGTGTGACACCTGTGCCTCCTCACACCCTCCACCTGCTTGCAGAGATCAGTGTACTTCTCAATCATTGTCCATATCTTTTCCAAAAAGATTCCTCAATGCTTTTCTTTTCAAAAGGGAAAAAAAAAGGAAAAAAAAAACAATGCCAACAGCCCAGCGTCCGTGAGCAACCCAACAGTAACAAAGCATGCGTTCGGGATGGAGGAAGGTAAGGCCGCACCTTTCCATTTGCCGCTTGCTCCTGGGCTGGGCGGCTGGGATAACCTGAAGGGAGAACCTGTGTGCACCCCTCCTCCACCTCCCCTTCCCTCTCACTTCTTGTTCTGTCTGCAGTGGGGAAGGAGAAAAGGGTTGGACAGAAGGCATGTGGCCGAGGACCCAGGGACAGCCAGGCCCCGGGTTCTTTTACTGTTAGTCCATGCCGAAGATTGAGCTCCCACCTCTCACTGCATCATTCATTCATTCATTCAAGAAATGTCTTTTGAGCATCATTTTCCAGGCCCTCTGATTGCCACTAGAATACAGAGATAAGGCTCAGAAGCCACTCCTGAGGGGAGGGGCCCCTGCCTGGACAGGGAGACACGCATGTGAGTGTAAAAGGGCCTGGACTAAGGCAGCAGTACTTGGGGCCTGGCTGGCTCTGCCTGGGGACCAGTCCATCGGGGAGAGACGCCTGTGCTGTGCTCTGGAAGATGAAGAGGCAGGCTAGGACTCCCTGGAAAGGCTTTTCAGCTGGGGGTTGTTACATGAGCACAGGCCCCAGCACCTAAAGCATTCTGGACAGACCCCCGAACTACACAGTTTCGGTACTTTGGTTCCGCAGCTATAACGGTTAACGTTACACTAGTGACATGGGGCCTGGGAGAAAGGCTTCAGAAGGTCACTTTGCAGTGCTGGAGAGTTTAGAACTTATTCTGGGAAACTTTGGCAGTCATTGAAGGTGTTTAAGCAGAGGAAATGCAAGATGGGTTTTGTGTTGTGGACGGACCACACTGGCTTTGGTATGGGAGAGGTGAACTGGAGGGTGGGGAGGTCGGGAGGTCGAACTAGGGCAGTGGCCAGGGTGGACATACAGGAGGTAAACTCAGCAGAGCCTCGGTTACCCCGGGACATGGAGGGAGAACCCTGCCTGCTTACCCAGACTACCTGGTGGAAAGAAGATACGAGTAGGGCAGCTTAGGCAACACCCCGCCTCCAAGAGCAGCACTTCATCTTGCGAACCCCCTGACAACTGTCCCTGCACTGTCACGTGATAGGATGGGAAGCATCCACCCAGACCTGTGTGCTGGGGTCACTGAGGCTGCTGGGGGTGTTGCTGGTGGTCTGCGCCAACGGGCAGTGTGGGTGCCATGCTTGGTCCCCGGCTCTGGTTTCCTCAGCTCCCTTGGCAGTGTGGATGTGTTGGCATTTTGCAACAAGACCATTGGGCTGTCCCTCTGCTTTGGAAAGGGGCCCAGCCTTTACCAGTGGCCTTTTCTGCTCCTTCATCTGGGGCTTTTTTCCTTGGGCCTTGGTTTCCAGAGCCTAGGGTTGGGCTGTCCCTCTGCTTTGGAAAGGGGCCCAGCCTTTACCAGTGGCCTTTTCTGCTCCTTCATCTGGGGCTTTTTTCCTTGGGCCTGGTGTCCAGAGCCTAAGGAAGCCCCTGCTTTTCTTGCTACTGCTGGTGCTCTCTCCTGCCCGCCTGGCCCTGCTGTCAGCGCCCCCTAGTGCCAGGACGGCCTTGCATGAGGGCAAGGGCTTCTGAGAGCAAACCGGACCTCAGAGATCTCCCACAAACTCCTTGGCTTGCTTGTGGGGAAAGAAGGGAATGGAGAGATCTCTCTTGGAGTTTGAAGCTTTCATGTAGAATTCCCAGGGTCTACTCTTGCTTTCTCATCCTCCTCCTCATGGAATGGCTTGTATCCCCATATTGGGCGGATACTGAAGAATGAGCGTCCATGCCGAAGATTGAGCTCCCACCTCTCACTGCATCATTCATTCATTCATTCAAGAAATGTCTTTTGAGCATCATTTTCCAGGCCCTCTGATTGCCACTAGAATACAGAGATAAGGCTCAGAAGCCACTCCTGAGGGGAGGGGCCCCTGCCTGGACAGGGAGACACGCATGTGAGTGTAAAAGGGCCTGGACTAAGGCAGCAGTACTTGGGGCCTGGCTGGCTCTGCCTGGGGACCAGTCCATCGGGGAGAGACGCCTGTGCTGTGCTCTGGAAGATGAAGAGGCAGGCTAGGACTCCCTGGAAAGGCTTTTCAGCTGGGGGTTGTTACATGAGCACAGGCCCCAGCACCTAAAGCATTCTGGACAGACCCCCGAACTACACAGTTTCGGTACTTTGGTTCCGCAGCTATAACGGTTAACGTTACACTAGTGACATGGGGCCTGGGAGAAAGGCTTCAGAAGGTCACTTTGCAGTGCTGGAGAGTTTAGAACTTATTCTGGGAAACTTTGGCAGTCATTGAAGGTGTTTAAGCAGAGGAAATGCAAGATGGGTTTTGTGTTGTGGACGGACCACACTGGCTTTGGTATGGGAGAGGTGAACTGGAGGGTGGGGAGGTCGGGAGGTCGAACTAGGGCAGTGGCCAGGGTGGACATACAGGAGGTAAACTCAGCAGAGCCTCGGTTACCCCGGGACATGGAGGGAGAACCCTGCCTGCTTACCCAGACTACCTGGTGGAAAGAAGATACGAGTAGGGCAGCTTAGGCAACACCCCGCCTCCAAGAGCAGCACTTCATCTTGCGAACCCCCTGACAACTGTCCCTGCACTGTCACGTGATAGGATGGGAAGCATCCACCCAGACCTGTGTGCTGGGGTCACTGAGGCTGCTGGGGGTGTTGCTGGTGGTCTGCGCCAACGGGCAGTGTGGGTGCCATGCTTGGTCCCCGGCTCTGGTTTCCTCAGCTCCCTTGGCAGTGTGGATGTGTTGGCATTTTGCAACAAGACCATTGGGCTGTCCCTCTGCTTTGGAAAGGGGCCCAGCCTTTACCAGTGGCCTTTTCTGCTCCTTCATCTGGGGCTTTTTTCCTTGGGCCTGGTGTCCAGAGCCTAAGGAAGCCCCTGCTTTTCTTGCTACTGCTGGTGCTCTCTCCTGCCCGCCTGGCCCTGCTGTCAGCGCCCCCTAGTGCCAGGACGGCCTTGCATGAGGGCAAGGGCTTCTGAGAGCAAACCGGACCTCAGAGATCTCCCACAAACTCCTTGGCTTGCTTGTGGGGAAAGAAGGGAATGGAGAGATCTCTCTTGGAGTTTGAAGCTTTCATGTAGAATTCCCAGGGTCTACTCTTGCTTTCTCATCCTCCTCCTCATGGAATGGCTTGTATCCCCATATTGGGCGGATACTGAAGAATGAGCAGGAGAGAAGAGAGCCCAGCCAGCTGCTGCCTGCCTTGTTTTCTACCCAAATCCGGATAACTCTTGATTTTCCCAGGTCTAAGACCCGACAGGACAGCCAGTGTGTCTCTTGGAGATCAGAAGCCATAGCCAGGTCCTCAGCCTGTGTCTGCAGTGTCCCCTTCCCTCCTTCCTCTGACCCCACTCTACTGAGAGGTTCTGGTGTTCAGGCACATCCATCTAACCTGGGCCCAGGCCCCTCACACCTGGACCCAGGCACCTGCCTTTTCCCTGCCCCATCCTATGGCTGCTGCTCGTGGGCAACCTTAGTGCTTCAGGGGTGGCCTACAAGGAGTGGGGGCCATGGTTAGCTCCAGCCTGGTTGGTGATAGCCAGCTCGGGAGTTAAGGCCATGACCTACTCATTCCCTAACCAAAGCCAGTTGTGCTGTGTGTGTATGGTGGGGGGCCTGGGAGCACTGCGGGCAGCACCAAAAGGTCTCGGGCCCAACCAGACTGAGTGTGCTATTTCAGCATGCCCTGCTATTTCAAACAGCTGCTGAAAGACCCTGCACTCCGAGGCAGACAGGCAAGGCCCCCTCAGACACAGGCATACCTGGGAGAAGGCTAGGTTGCAGGGCACCACGGCTCAGCTTGGGGTAGATTCCAGGGACAGCCCAGGGATGTGTGTGCCCATACCTCAGAGGCCGCTCCAAGGGACTGAAAAGGAATGGGAACTGGCCAACTTTAAGAAGCCAAGAAGTGATTCCTCCTTTCTCACCTTCAGTGAGCAGGGAATTCTATTAGTCCACCCATCCCGGCACCCACTATGAGTCAAGAGGTGATGGAGCAGTTAAAGTGCCCATAGCTGTGAGACGGGTCAAGTTGCCATATCCAAGATGGCTTCATGGATGTTCAGGAGCCAGGGAAGGGAAGGAGGAGAGGGTGGGAGCCTCCCTGCCTGCTTCACGGGTTGACTCAGCATTCTGAGGGGCCTCCAGGAGACTGGGGCTAAGAGGAAGGGAGGAAGGAGGCACTCTAGGCAAGCAGGGACCCTCTTTCCACTAAAGCAAATTCCCCTCAAGCCAATCACTCTCTCCTGCAGGGAAACAAGACACTTGCCAGGAGGTACCAAGGATAAACCAAAGTCCGGCCAGCAGGCAGATTGGGTGAGGAGTGAGCAAATGAGAGGGTTCCAGGCTGGAGCCCCGGGCACAGACGGGCCAGGAGAGGGATGGGCCAGGCAGGGCAGCTGTGTCCTTCTTGTGTCTCAGCTTCTCCCACCTGTCTCACCTGGAGATCCGAGACAGGAGACTGTGGAGTGGGTGAGCACACTGGCCGAGCACGAGCATGTGAGCAGGTGCAGGTCAGTGCCCAGGAAGAGCCATGTCGCCCCGATAGGTCATCCAGGGCCATACTTCCGGCCTGAGGGCTGCCTCACAATGAGAGAGACCACGTCTAAAACTGGACTGTACCAGCCAACAGGGCTTCTCTCTGCCCCGGCTGAGCCTCCCTGTGACCTGAGCTGCCACCTACCCATCTGGGGAGCAGGGGGGGCATGCCCCTGCCAAAGGATGTAAGGAACCCAGAATGGCGCCTCGAGGCTGCCAGCCTGGCCCAGGGCGTGCACCACCCCAGACCCTGCTCTAACCAAGCCTGGCTCTCTCCTGTCTTGCAGAACTTCAGCGAGAGGGAAGCATCGAGACTCTGAGTAACAGCTCAGGTTCCACCAGCGGCAGCATCCCAAGAAACTTTGATGGTTACCGATCTCCACTTCCCACCAATGAGAGTCAGCCCCTCAGCCTCTTCCCCACCGGATTCCCGTAGTACCAGCCACCTGCTTCCAACCGGCCGGCCTACTCACCTGCTGGGGGGTGGACGAGATGCCCTCTCTGGTCCCGCTCTTCAGTCTCTGCTCCTCTTTCATCAACCGCCTTCCCTAAGCTTAGTGACAGCAGCCACCCATGCCCCCTCAGATGAGAGGAGACCCTTCTCCTAAGCACCCCAGCATACCCTGACCTCTACCATACCTGCCAGTGGGGGCTGTGGCCAAGAGAGACTGCCAGCGCTCAGTCCCCTTCCCCGTTTGCACATGACATTCTGCATTGGATCTGCTTTTGTATTTTCTAACTCATACTCACAGGGGCCTGGAACAGTGGCCAGGTCTTGGGTCCTAGGTGGGGAGAGGGTGGATAGTCCAGCCAGGTATTTTGACCCTGAGTGGACAGGCTCCACCCCAACCCACTTCTGGCTGTGACACATACCGCCCCTAGCTTCCCTTAGTCGGCCCCCCTCCAGCCTCGGGTACACTGAGGCCCAGCGTATTAGGGAAGAAGAAGGAAGGAGAAGCTTCCCCATCTTTGTTTCCCCGTGAGCTCGTGGGAAGAATCTGTCTTTTCTTTAAGCCCTTTTACCCCGGTCTCGTACTGTTCAGTGAAGGAAACCGTGGTTACCGAGGCCCTGTCAAAAGTGCACGTCTTGTACAATAAATCACGCTGCGATTGGTGTCCACCCCTGAGTTGCTGTGGTGGGGGTCCTCTCAAACGCCGAACAGAATCTGGTGGGCCTGACTGTGTAGCTCTGAACACCCCCGCCCCATGTGTGCAACTGAGTAGCGAACCAGTGGGAGTGGGAGAGGAAAGAGAAGGACAATTTTTGTTCTAGAATTTGGAACAAAAGTCCACTCACCAAGCCTCTTGCCTGTTACCAGAGGCAGTGAGTTTGGGGGTACCACAGACTTGGACCTTCCTGGTTTTGGCAGTCAAGGCTATTTAGACCTTTGACATGTGCTGGTGGGTTGCTCGTGGGAAGGAGAGTTTGACAAAGCCTCTGGGTTTATTCTGGGGCACCTTAAGTGCCTCTGTAGACAGAGGGCTGTCAGGCGAAAGTGGGGATCTGTGAAACCCAGCTGGAGCCTTGGACGACATGCTTCATTCTGTTCTCTCCCTCCTCCCATTTCTGGACCTAAAGTGAACAGCAAAGGGAGCCAAAAAGTGTGTTGAGCAGGAAGGAGACTGTTGGTTCTAGTCCCCCTTCCCCAGCCCACCTTTCCCAGAGACCCCAAGCATCCTTAGGGGATTGAAGGAAACCCACTGAGCCAGGTGTGGTTTGGGCGAAGTTTAATAGACAGCCATAGAAGAGTTCACAGGTAAGCAGACCTTCCCATCCGGCCTCGCAGCCAGAGCTAGGGCAGTCCCCGAGACCCCTGTCCCCTTTACACACATTCCATCCCATCCCTGGCGCCTGAGAAGAGATGCAGTCTCAGTTCTCTCCTTCAGTCAGTTGGGCATGTTGAGAGAAGGGGACCTGAATCACACTAGGCCCCGTAGGCTAGGCTGAGAAGAAAGTCCTGCACAGGGTGGCCTAAGCCAGTCCCTCCTGCCTGGGCACCTGCAAGGTGAAATCACGTGCCAGAGTGAGGCGTGCTGGGAACAGAGCCTGGGTACAGCCAGTGGGGCTATGAGAGGGGAAGCAGCTTTTTTCCGTTTGGCTGAGCTGGAGGCATTGATGTGCCAGCACTAACTCCAGCCCTCAGCTGGAGCAGTGTTTCAGTCAAAGGGGGCAGTATTCCTGTAGTCCCAGCTACTCGGGAGACTGAGGCAAGAGGATTGCAGCTTGAAGGCCAGCCTGGACAGTATAGCAAGAACCTGTCTCTAACACCCACTTTGTTTTATTAGGAGGGGAGGAGTCAGGAAGGAGGGTGCTACCAGCCTGTCGGTGCATGCTGCCCATGGCCAAGCTCCCTGGGAATGGGTCCAGAAGCTCGCGGAAGCATGAGCCCCTCTGAACCCACCCTCAAGCACGTGGATGGGGCAGACTTGCAGCCAGAGCTCTCAGCCATGTAGGGAGCCATCCTGCAGCTTAGACTCAGGAGGCCTCCTTGGCCCAGCCCTTCCCCTCTGTGGGGGTCAAGCAGCTGTAGTCTCCTTCAGTCAGGGAAAGTGGTGGGTGTAGGGCTGGACTGGCCGGCTGAGCTTGCAGGACAATCTGGTTATTCATCTGCTCGCAGTCAGGGCAACTCTTTGAGTATGTGGGGGAAGGGTGAGGATAAGAGAGGCCAGATAAGCTGGCCCCATGGCGGCTGCCACTGGAGCTCAGGTTATCAGAAAGGCCTTGGGGCTGGCCCCCGGCTAATTGGGGAGGTTATAGACCCTGCCAGAGCCTGTAATCAGCTGGAAGTGAGAACTGGGCCCCAGGGTGGGAGACCTTACTGCCCACTAGCCCTGGAGCAGCCAGCCACCTGTCCTCTACAGAAAATACGCAGGGCCACCTCCACCTCATCCCCAGCACCTCAGAGATCATCAGAACAGGAATCTAACGGTGACTGGACCAGGTGACCTTGAGAAAGGCATGTGACCTTCCTGATTTTCACAGCGCTACCTCTCAATGGACTCCCTCAGTTTGATGAAAAATATCTTCATGGTCTGGAAAGGCTACTGGGAGTTGGGGTGGCAACTTGAAGAGGTAGGGCACTGTCTAGGATTGATTTGAGGAGAGACCCAGTGGCCCTAAGACAAACTTAGGCACACAAACGCTAGCCAGGCCAAGCAACCACCAGTCCAGATTTGGAGGTGGTTTCTCAGTGCCAAGTTTTGATTTTCACAGGTAGAGACTCTAAAGGAGACAGTACCTTTGCACACTGTCCAGGCATCATTTTGCAGAAGACAAGCCTGATCCCAGAAAAGGGCAGAGCCTCCCTCAAGGTCAGGAAGTCCCTTCGCTAGCCAGCCGACCCTCTGTACTGCTTCACATACTCTACCCAGTTCCCTTAGAGGGGCCTGAATCAAAGCTGACCTCCTTGTCCTGTGCCACCACACAAACAGGATTCTGGTCCCACTGACCTCCATGCTGTCCTTGTCTCCATGTAACTAGAAAGGCAGGCCCCTCCTGCTTCTAGCTCTCGGGGGCAAAGGGGAAAAGGACCTGCCTGTCTTGTGTTCAAAGCCAGAGCCCACCTGAGGCAGAGGCCCTGGAGCCCAGTACCAGTCCCACCTTGCTGTGTGAGCAGGGGTAGGTCCACAGCAATGGATCACTACCTTCTAAGGAGTAGATGGATTTGGGCTTGCTTTCCTAAGGTCCCAGGGTCCCCTTCCAGCTGTGCCGCCAGTAGCTTTTGGCTTTGGGTAAATTACTGCACCTCTGGGCTTTGGGGTCCTCTCCCTTTAGAGAGAGGAGCATGCCCTGCTCAGTGAAATGACAGAGCTATAGGAAACTGTTAGGTCAGAAAGGCAAAAGCACAGAGGCAGCCAGGTAGCTCCTGGCCAGGAAACAGGGACGGCAGATGCCAAGCAGCTGGAGCTGGGATTGTGGCATGTTCTCCCCAGAGCTGCTCCAGGGAATCCTGGCCTGCGCCCTGCAAGAGCATTTCTGGAAGTGAATCAGGAAGAGCCTAGTGAGCCCATAGGCCAGCTCTGCCCCTTCGTCCCAGATGGGCCCATCCTAGAGGCCCTTCCCCATGCTACTCAAACTCCTATGATCACAGATAGCCACACCCAGGATCCCACACCTGTGCCCATCCACACATATACAGGCAGATTCACAGCTGTGAACCTCACTTCTGCTGACACCTGTGTCCCAACAAGACAGCTGTGACCTGAATAACCTTGGGCCCAGAGCAGTGAGTAATCTGGAGCTGCCAGGGTCACAAGAGCTCCCAAACTGAAGTTCTGGGGACCAGGCACAGCTGGCCAGAGCTACTTGCAGCTTCAGATGCAAAGTGTCACCCGTCAGGGACCAAGTCGCCTAGGCCCCGCAGTTATCAGGCTCAGGCTGAGCTTTGCCTTCCCATCAGTCTGGAAGACAAAGGACAGGGCCACAGGGCCTGGCTGGGGCGCACTTCCTGGGACCTAACTGGAGGAAGCGGCCGCACCACGGGTTGGAGCAAAGCCGAGGCCACCCCGCGACCAGAAGGGGGTCTGGCCTCCATCTCTCCTTGAGTACCCCACCCCATTCTGCCAGTTGGCCCGACCCTGCGCGGAGTAATTGGGGCGGGAGGCGACCGGCGGGCTGCGGCTCCAGAGAGACTGCGCGCCTGTCAGCCGCAATTTGTTTAAGTGGACGGGACAGGCAGGGCCGCTGCGGGCTGGGGTCACCTAGGCCGCGGCCTCCACCCCAGTCAGACCCGGGACCGCGGGGGAGCGCGGCCCGGCCGCTAAACCGGGATGGCTGGCGCCAAGGCTCTGGGAGGCGCTGGGCCGGCTGAGAAACGGTGGATGGGAAGTGTCTTCATTCACCCACACACACAGGTCACGATGGGGACGTTTGCTCCCAGTGGCAGCCCCACCACCGGTCAGACACACCCCCCCACCGGTCGGGCACGGGGCCCCAGCCTGGACACACGCACATCCCACCGAGCGCGGGTACCAGGCTCGCACCAGCGGCCTGTCACTCTCACGCACGTCGGTCCCGTCGGCCACGTGGCCACACATCCCGGGCGTTCCCGCCAGCCACTTCCACGCCAGAAGACACCAGCGGGGAGCCCTGCGACCTTGTGGCGCAATCCGGGGAAGGTCCCGGCAATGTCCCTTGACCCTGCGGGAGGGTACAGGGCCACGGAAGGAGGCCGCAGAGAGGCTGGGGCAGCAGCCCCGCCTGACCTGGTCGTGGC